GGTTCAGCACCCCCCGGCGGGTTATGTCGACCCTCATCTGTATGTACAAGTGATCAGAGAGGGTCTCTTGCCTCATCACCCGCGTTACTAATCCTGTCCGCCGCAGAAGGAGATGCCCAAGTCAAATCAATGATCGACTCCCCCTGCGGACAGACCAGGGTGCTGCTTGACCCTTGATTGACTATACCAAGGCCGAGAACCGCTGCCCATTCCTCTAGAACCCCGCCTTTGCGGTTAGTCTGCCGGGAACCCCAATGCCTAGACTTAGCATTGAAGTCCCCGGCGACCATAATGGGTTCGGGGAACCTCCTTTGCACGATGAGCTCGATCTCGTCAAAGATCTCCCCGAACGTGGCGAGGTCCGTGCTGGGGAGAATGTAACAACCCACCACCCACAGCGAGCCCCATTCGACGGCTACATGACCTCTGCCCCCTCTGATTTTTGAACAGGGAGGGGAACCGATCTCCATGCGCCAGGTGATCGCGACCGAGCCGCTGTTATTAGTGGCCCAGCAGGGATTGTCCTCTGGGACACGATACGGCTCGGCCGCGATCCCAACACCGCATTTCCACTGCGCCAGGGTATGCAAAAAAAGATCCTGAGCCCGGCGCAGTGGTTGAGGTTTGTTTGGAGGAGGCCAATTCGCGCCATAGCGTGCGCGACTTAGGCCTCCTCCATGACCACCTCCCTCAGTTCATCTGGTTGAGCCGCGGGAGAGGTGACTCCCGACTCCTTCTGTTTGGCGGAGGCGCCCTTTACCCTGCGCATGCGTTGGGGTTTTGGCGTCTCCGCATTTAGATTTGGGGTGAGCCCGGGGGAGGCAAGGCCATCCCAGGAGCTCTCTCCAGCTTCTCCACTCCCTTTCACGATATTATCGTCTCGGGAAGGTCCGGGGGAGGCAATGCCATCCCCGGGGCCCCTCTCGGCTCCTCCCTTCTTCGCAGCTTGGCCGCCATTTTTTCCCTTCTTGGCGGTCTTGACCCCTTTCTTGCCCCGGCATGCCTCGCTGCCAACTCGGTGACCCGCCGGCAGGCCAGCCTCCGTGCATAGCACGCAGTGCGTCTTGTTGACGCAGTTTGAGGCTCTATGGCCAGCGGAGCCGCAGTTATAGCAGCAGCCAGACCTATCTGGCTGCTACACTGCTCGCGCACATGCCCCCTTTCCAGGCAACGGAAGCATTGCAGGGGGCGCGAGCTGAGCGACTTCACCCTGGCCATCGTCCAGCCAACACGGATCTCGCCCGCGGCGACCACCTTAACCGTGGCCGCCACTGGGCACTGGACCCAGAGGGTGCCCATTGCCCCCTTGTTAAAGCGGATTTGACCCGTTCTAACTTCGGAGGCTGGGCACCCCCCTATTTCCGTTACTGCCGCCTTTACCTCCTCTACCGTGGCGGACTCGTCGAGTCCGAGTATCCTAATGTCGCCCCTCTTGCAGGGGCGGGTAACTCGGACTCCCTCTTGGCCGGCTAGGGCCTCCCTAACTTTTTCAGCGAATAAATCCGCCTTCTGTCCCTTCTCCGCCCCGGGGATTTCATAGAGGATGGCCCCGGTGGCAGCTCTGCGGCCCTGATTTCTTGTATACCCAGCTCGACTGGGTTCACTTTTTGGCGGGCCAGGGCGATAGTTTCGCCATATTTGCCCGCCGGGCACGTAATGGCAACAGCCGCGGTACGAGGGATTCTCCCCGATCTCCTCGCGGCGGCCTTCGGGGCGGCCCTACCCTCAACCCTCTCCTTGAGAAGGGGGGAGGCCTTATTTGCCCGCCGCCGTTAGCGGAGGAGGCTTCTACGGGCGCGGATGCAGACGCCCGGTTTTTCCTCGCCGTCTTCCTCCTGACGACCTTCACCCAGGTGGATTCCTGGGCTCCCGAAGGTCCCGGGAGCTGGTGAGGGGTATTGGGGAGAGGATCCCTCTTCTTTGCCTTAGCCTTCGTCGGCTTAGGCTCGATCTTTTTGGGGGTTCCCTTGGGGGGGGTTTACATTCTCTTGGGAGTTGCCCCTGCTTTTTTCCGCTCCGGCTACAGCCTGAGCAGGTGCCACACCCTGCCGTGGCAGCGCCTTTTTTCTGGCAGGTCTAACCGAGCTGCCAGCTTTGTTTGTGACGGGCCACTGCCCCGTCTGCAGCGGAGGCGCCTTCTTCCTCTTCTTGTTCCCCCCCATTGGTGGCCGTACAGGGACCACGGCTTCTGCCGCGGCGTACTGCGAGCCACTGTTGGGGGAGGCCTCCTCCTCATAAAAGAAGAGGCTGATCCTGGGGGGATATGTTGCCCCTGCATAACCTGCTCCTTCTGTCGAGCAGGAGATTTATCTTGGCGGAGAGCGCGTCGTACGCACGACGGATTTCCACCGTTTCCAGCCCTGGTGGGTAAGTCTTGCCCAGGTCCTTGACCACCCCTTTGATAGGGGGTCTTAGTGCCGGTGCCTGGGGGGAAGCGGTAGCCTCATCCACCACCTCTACGTCCACCTCCATTCTGTCTTCCTGGGGCGCGCCCTTGTAATCCTGGGTGAAGTGTACGTCAGGCATAAGATTGATGTACTTTTTCTTTTGCCCAGCATCCGCGCTCCTCGGTTCCGGCTTACTATTAGCCGGTTGGGTTTGCGGTTGCGCCCTTCCCTTTACCTGGGCTGGCCCTTTCTTCCCAGCCTCAGTCCCCTTCTCTTTCTTTTGTGGGATCTCTCTATCCCGACTGAGGAGGCGCTGGTTCTCAGCTCTTGAAGCTGTCTCTTGAGAGCCTCGATTTCGCTTTCCCCTTCTTCGGACGCGCCTCCCGCTTCTCCGTGCGATCCAGGGTCTCGCATTTCTCCTCTTCTTCTCCACGTTTCGCCTCTTCCGCTTTGCGGGTCTTGAGGTGTTCGCAAGCGAAGGTAATGGGGTGACGTCCTTTCGCCCTCTTCTGCTCCGGAAGAGGATATTCCTTGCCGACCTCGACCTCGTCCTCTGTCGACATCGTCTCGATATTGCGCCTCTTGGCCGGGGGCCCGAGACGTTTGTCCGGCTTCGCAGTCGCGAAGACGTCACCCGTCGTGTAATCGTGCCTGAACGGCACTGTCGGTCCCCCTTCTGACTTCCGGAGGGGCCCGCAATATCCTCCATGTTTGCCCGGACAAGGCACACCGACACCTCGCGGATATCGATGACTCCAAGCTTGTTGGGCGCAGGGCCCGGCTTGGGCCTCGCGTCTTTCCCACCTCCCTCTTCTCCTGTCTTCTTGTTTTCGAGAGTATTCATTTTGATTTTTCCCACTCCCCGCGGAGGCTCGGCCGGCCGGCGTATCTCCTATCGGCCAGGGGACGACCCAGAGACGCGACCCAAAACATGACCGGCATCGCGCCCCCAAAATCGACCCCCAAACCGGTGCCCCGGGAACTCCCGGGGGGCCGGCTTATGTCGCGGCCGGGGGGGATACCGCACCCCCGGCACAGGACTCCGAGCCCCTTACTCCCCCATGAGGGGTTTGACTCCCCCATGGGGTTTCAGGGGCCCTACGCCTTCGACAACAGGGGCACCTCCGCGGGTGACGCCACTCGGGGGGCCCCACGGACAGTTGGGGTGAGGACGCCGCTCCCCGTCCACACCTTACCCGCCGTGGCGACCAGCCCTCCCCCCATATAAAATTTATAATTATTTATTGTACATAAATATATTGTACCGCGATATTTAAACGATATTTAACAAATAATCAGTCATTTTGTTTATGTTTGTATGGAACATTGGTTTAATACATCACGACGGTAAATAAAATCAGTATCTAACCTAATTAATATTATTTCTAATTAGTGTATAAAAGAATAACAATTATACATATTATATGTATATTAAAAATACAAGTGCATATAATTAAAAGTTAAAATCAAAAGGAGTTACATTTTCATTAAAAAAAAAACCCAGTGCGGACTATCCCAAAGAGGACTCCCAGCACCCACCAAGTTAATGAAAATATTTTTATTAATCTGGTGCGGACTATCCTAAAAAGGACTCCCAGCACCCACCGGGTTAATGAAAATATTTTTATTAACCCAGTGCGGACTATCCCAAAGAGGACTCCCAGCACCCACCAAGTTAATGAAAATATTTTTATTAATCTGGTGCGGACTATCCTAAAAAGGACTCCCAGCACCCACCGGGTTAATGAAAATATTTTTATTAACCCAGTGCGGACTATCCCAAAGAGGACTCCCAGCACCCACCAAGTTAATGAAAATATTTTTATTAATCTGGTGCGGACTATCCTAAAAAGGACTCCCAGCACCCACCGGGTTAATGAAAATATTTTTATTAACCCAGTGCGGACTATCCCAAAGAGGACTCCCAGCACCCACCAAGTTAATGAAAATATTTTTATTAATCTGGTGCGGACTATCCTAAAAAGGACTCCCAGCACCCACCGGGTTAATGAAAATATTTTTATTAACCCAGTGCGGACTATCCCAAAGAGGACTCCCAGCACCCACCAAGTTAATGAAAATATTTTTATTAATCTGGTGCGGACTATCCTAAAAAGGACTCCCAGCACCCACCGGGTTAATGAAAATATTTTTATTAACCCAGTGCGGACTATCCCAAAGAGGACTCCCAGCACCCACCAAGTTAATGAAAATATTTTTATTAATCTGGTGCGGACTATCCTAAAAAGGACTCCCAGCACCCACCGGGTTAATGAAAATATTTTTATTAACCCAGTGCGGACTATCCCAAAGAGGACTCCCAGCACCCACCAAGTTAATGAAAATATTTTTATTAATCTGGTGCGGACTATCCTAAAAAGGACTCCCAGCACCCACCGGGTTAATGAAAATATTTTTATTAACCCAGTGCGGACTATCCCAAAGAGGACTCCCAGCACCCACCAAGTTAATGAAAATATTTTTATTAATCTGGTGCGGACTATCCTAAAAAGGACTCCCAGCACCCACCAAGTTAATGAAAATATTTTTATTAACCTGGTGCGGACTATCCTAAAAAGGACTCCCAGCACCCACCGGGTTAATAAAAATACATGTGTTTACAATCAAAGCTTTAAATCAAAAGAAATTACATTTTCATTAAAAAAAATCCAGTGCGGACTATCTCAGAAAAAGGATTCCCAGCACCCACCAAGTTTTTTTAATGAAAATGTAAAATTTCTTTTGATTTCCCAGACAGCACAAGGATGTCCTTAGGACGTCCAAAGGGCATCCAGGACATACATGTAGGATATCCTGAGGATATCCTAT